CTTGAATCACAAGTATCATATGGGATGTTTGAATATCCCTATCTTTTTGCAGATGCCAACTAGTAAATGAAAGCAGAACATACCTTCCTAAGAAACTAGCATTTGTCTATTTGTTTTAATGTCGTAATGTGTTTTCTATGTCTTTTTTTTTTTGTTTTAAGCAAGTAACAAGATAATACTTTGCTCAGTCCATAATCTGGTTTCTACCGTGAATTGTAAGCTGCGTCACTGTTGTTGTCCCTGGGATTTATTTGTATGAGGAGCAAGGTATGCTGTGAGCGGAGAGAACATACGAGATAGTCTGGATCATGTCTACCAGACCATCATTGATCTGGCTGGGGGAAGCAGTGTTGAATGTGGCTAATTTTCAAGAGAGAAGCATCTTCTTACGCCGGCTAGTCTTTTAAATCACCGGTTTCTGTGTTTTCAACCATCTTCTGAAATATCGGCTGTCCTGGCTGTTGCCACAAGGCAGTGCATTGCCCAGGCCATTTCTGTGAGGAAATGCTCTGCTCTGCTCGGTTTCAGCAAAGGGGTGAAACGTGTTTTCTGCTCCTAATCGAAGGAATGATGTCCAGCCAGAGCAAAACAAGCTGTCCTTGGCTTCTGAGCTGTGGAAGCTCGTAAACTGGAGCACAGGCTTGATACGTTAGGTCCAAGTGTACTTTTGGTGTTTCTATTAATTAATGTTCTGATAAGTGGTGTTAGCACAGTCTCCTCCCTTGGTGTTCCCCGCGGGCATAAATCTGAAAGCATTTGCGCTAGGTCACGTTGCTCCCAGCTTCCTGCGGGAAGCAGCCAGGCTCCTCCAGCACCGAAGTGGTGGCAGAAGTTATTCTTCCTCTTTTCAGGAGGCAGCTGGTTCCTCTCCAATATCCAAGCAGATATGTGTAGAAAATGGGAGAGAAGCAGGGAGAGGAGCGATGCTCCCACTTTTCTCTGCCCTCTCAGATCTCCCCTAGCACTGGCCGACAACAGTTTCCTGAGCTGCAGTTGTACAGGAGTTATGCATGGAGTTGATGGGGTTTGAAAATTGACGTGTTGGTACTGGCTGGTCCTGCGTCTCTGGCATGCAGCTTCTCTGCTAGGAGGATTGTGAGGGTCTTGGAAGAAGGCAGAGCAGAGGCCTGGAAATCTGCCCCCGCAGGATGAAGCTGCTCTGAAGGATACGGTGAGGTGAGGCCGGCAGTCTGGATATACGCGCAGCCCATTTGTACCTACAGCGCAGTAAGGAGTCTCTTCCTCTGGGGTCAAAACTTGATGCAGCCCCTGTCCCCCTTGCTGTGCGGTGGGTGCAGATGCGTCCAAGCCTCCTTGCGCTAGCATTCTCAATCCTAGGTCTCTCCAGGAAGCTCCTCTGGACAGCAAGGGCTCGAATCCAGCTGCCGTAGACGCAGGCTGAGACCCTCAGGCCTGTTGTCCATCTCTGCATGCCTCCAAGTCTCACCTCGGGGGACGCTGGCTTTCCTGCTGGCTCTCCAGGCTCAGCAGAACGCTCCTGACAGGGACACTTCCCGGCTTGCCTGGAGAACACAAAAGGAGTCATACTCTGACAACTAGGGAGCAGTCCAGAATGTGTCCCACAGTCTAATTTCGCTCCTCCGGTGAGCTGCAGCTGGGGATGGCTTTTGCAGGCTGCAACAGGGTGTCTCCAGCCTCTGTCTTCCTGGGTCCCACTTTGCAGGGAGTTTTCCCATGTGAAGGGAGCTGCTGACATCGAATCTCCCTTCCTTTCACCCCTGCACACTCTGCCCTCTACGAGGGGCTCAGTGCCTCTGCACTGATCTGGCGGATCAGAGATGGATGATGTTCCTGCCCCAAGGTTGCTCTTTGCCAGCTTCTTGGACAGAGCCACGCCTGCCGGTGGCGAGTGCTTCCTGCAGAAAGGATGCTGCGCTCTGCAGCGGCCGAGCTCTGAAGCACGCGTGGCTGGCCAAGGCGTAGACACGTTACCCACACGTGGGATGCAGGCTCCCATTTCATACGGGACACACTGCAGTCCTTCCTCTGGTTGAACTGCAAGGCGAGGTCTGGCTCGACAGCTTCCCGCAGGGAGCAGGGTTCAGCTGGGGCTGCGGTGGCCTGCCGCGCTCTCCACGCAAAAGCAGCCTTGAGGCCAAGGTAAAGGTAAAAAGGAGCAAGTTGCTTGTAATAAGCACTAAGTCGGTTCTCGGCACGGGAAGAGGCTCCCTCTGGATTTCTTCTAGCCAAAACTCTTCTGGGTTTCTCGAAGCAAGTGGGCTCTGCGTGCAGATGCCTGCTGGGTGCTCAGGTGGCAGGGAAGCAGAAGCTGCTTCTGCCACGGAGACGTTTAACATCGTAGCAGGGTAGTGTTCAGAAATTAACGGCTGAGTTACTGAGGCACAAGAGAGAAGTAGGCGGAGGAGGCAGAAAGAACAAAACGTGGAAAACCTGAGTGAGACTTCCCAGTGGGGCAGATCAGGAGAGCTGCCCCACCACGGTAATAGGCTCTCTCAACTTCATGGAGTTTTTAATTGTCTTGGGGGCTCCTGGAGCTGCCTACACCATCCTCTGCAAGTGAGATCCAGCTCCTTCCTGCCTCCTTCCCTCCCCTCCCTTCCCTGCATAGCCATGCTGCAGCGTGCCCCAGTCTGCCCCTGGGCGTGGGGCCGCGCCATCTCCTCAGCGCTGCGGTGGATGCATCTTGCCAAGGCCGGAGTCACCCCTGTGAGCTGGCGTTACCACCCCTGCTTCCATGGTGCCATGCCGCAGCCCTTGGTGTCCCATGGCTGACCTACCTCTGGCCAGAGGACGTGCAGGAAGTGCTTCCAGCACATGGGCCCATGTTCACCCTTCACATCCATCCTGCGCTCCTCGTTAGCGTTTGCCAGAAGCCCAGGCTTTTGTCCAAGCTTGTCGGGGTTCTGGCTAGCAGTTCGTAGCTCCTTCCTGCGTCACGACTGTCCCTCGCCCCAGCCCCGACTCACCACCCACTGGCAGTATCACTTGTCAAATTGAGCGCAGAACAACAAAGCACACATCTTCATCATCTAGCAGTGTGCAGCAGAGATCCCCAAGTTAGCCCTGAGCCATCTAGCTCCACAGCTGGTAACAATATGGGGATATTCTTGTGGCCCTGCTCCAGAACTAATTAGTTAATTAAAGGCGAGGCTAATTGTCTTGGCTTTCGTTAACAGCCTGGGCAAAGCCCGGCGTTCATGTGGCTTAGCTGAGCTCCAGCCCAGGGAGGCTCTCTGCATGTTAGTGCCCAAGAAGGGCAGGATGAAGCAGAGCAGGTGGTGCAGAAATGGAAGAGTTCATTTTTATCTTATTTGCCAAACAAACTCCCTGAAATGGTAGAAGAGGAAGGTTCTGGCAGCTCTGAGAGCATGAAAAAGGGGAAGCAGGGGCAGCCCAAGTGTCAAATACAGCCATCTGTCTCAGTCATGAGTTAGGCATGGTATTCATGGACCCCAGCAGCGTCGTATCTGCTGTGGGATTACGGACACGGGCCATCACCCGCGCTTGTAATGGGGAAACTGTGCTGTTTGGGGACATCCGAGAGCGGCAGGTCAGCCAGCCTCCTAGACAGGAGGATGAGTCTTGGGTGAAAAACAGCATATAGAAAACATCTGTACTTATTTTGGCTCCAGACAAGCTTGGGCAACACTGCATTTTCATGTGCACCTAGAGCTAAGAAGAGCTGCTGACACAATATGTTCCACTAATTCAGTTAGTCAGAAGAAGGTTGGGATCCCAGAGGCTGCTTGGGGCTTAATTTGCACTCAGATGACCTGCCCTCTCATAGCCTTTACGTAAAATTGCAATTGGAGGACCCAAAGTTTGTTCTACTCTGGCCTAAGCATGTGAGTAAGGTGGTAACTTACTGAGTCTGAGTGGGGCCTCTGTCAAGCTAGCCCTTAGCTAGTGGTAGAAACAGGTACCTGAGTGTACGGCAGAGAGAAGGGATTCAGGTCAGGTATAGTTCAGGTCTGCATTTTCTTATGCCACCCTTTTATTTTGCAACAGCATTTCCAAGCAATCAGAAACTTTGCAATTTGCTTTACTTAAATTAACCTTTCTGGTTTTATTTTAATCTTGAATGGCTCTTTAAATGAGCTTGGCTGAATCCAAAAAACATTGAGCATATTACTTTTACTGCAGCTGCAAATCTAAATTAGCAATATTAAGTCAGTAAATCTAAGTTAGTAGGTTGTCCCCAAATCAAGACAGTTTGGGAGTGTTAGCAGTTGTGGTGAGTATGCCAACAAGCTGGAAGAGTCCATGTTGAATGTGGTATATGGAAGATCTAAGTAAAAAGAGAAAAACTGCATGTGGAAATGGTGGGTGGCAACCCACAGCTATGGGATATACCCTATTGTTCCACTGACTCACAGCCATTGTTTCAGGAGCAGGTCAGGAGAACGTACTCTGGGAGTCACCGGCTGCATTTCTAACACGTTATATTAAACAGGTTATTTTTGCAGTGCTGCTTTAGCCCCTGATCAGTATCAAAATTCTCCTTTAATTTTATTTTCAGCTGCGGAATCATCCCAATGTATAAAGCTGACACAGAAGATATGATATTTAATCCACGAAATGTATTTAAACATTGTGCCTCAAGTTTGTTTGCTGGCAAAATTAATGCAAACAGTTGTTCTCAACAGAGGTGCAAAAGGTTTCATTGTAAAATTTTACAATTTCTGACAAGAGCAGTCTGCCTCCCGTGACTTTAAAGAAAAGGGAAACAAATTTAATTGGTACATTTATAGAATGGCCAGTTTTCCCTGAAGGAGTCCAATATAAATTGGTGCAACACTGGATTCTATAGCGAACAAATTACACTCTCAGCTGGCTATAGAAAGTAAATTTGTTTTTATATCCTTTTCCAGTTGTCAGATAAATACTGATTCTCCTCAGCAAGCGTTGCTGGAGCGTGATAGGCCAAAAGATTGATGTTGTGATGAATGACCGTTTTCTAGTCCCCGGGATCCGTGCTCTTCTCTGTTTGGAAGGACATTACGCCAGCTCCCTATTCCTGTGGGAAGAAAACCCTCTGCGCTTGCAGAGTTGTCCATATCTTGATAAGGCAACAGTTAATTTATGAAGTTGGTAAGCATACTAAGCAAGCATGAATATATTGACAGTATCAGTAACACATGCATTTTGGGATTTCACCAGGGGAGTTGGGATGATTCCCAACACTAAAATAACGGTAGGCCGTGCTTTCAGTGGTGTAGTCCTTTTTGAACTTAAAAAACTGACAGATGAAGATCTCTTTTTTTAGTGGAGACTTGAAGGTTGGCGTCGGTAGTCATGAAAAGCTATAGTTTCCATAAGAATCAGGAAAAAATAAGATATTTGATTGGTCTGAAAAGCAGGCTTTAGAGGCTGTTTTCACTCATCCTCTTTGCAGGTCTTGGCTCTTAATTTTGCGTGGCACCGTGGGACTGGACGACAGGAGCACTAATTACTGTTCTGGCGTTAGAGGTTAACTGTAAGCTCCTGTTATAGTTAGCTGTGAAACTTTATTTTATTCTGGATGATTTTTCATAGTAGATTTCTAGGATGATGACATGTTTGAATAATCCCATCTGTACATATATAATGTTATCAATCCCAAAGTGAGCTGAGCATTTCAATTCAAATGTGGAGTCCCACTGAAATCAGTTGCTTTACAACTTTGCAAGATTCCATCTTAAATACTTAAATATTTCTCAGAAGGACTGTGCTGCTTCTCGTGTTCCTTGTTTTTTGGAAGAGGGAAATATGTAGGAATTTATCCCTCCTTTTTTTTTTCCATGAACCTCTAAGTGCTGTTTTGGAGGTTTCTGATCTTCCATGTTTGGAAATTGGCAGTGTAGCACTTCCAGAATTTTTAGAATAGTCACTGATAGATGATTTCGTTTAACTGGTGTGGGCACTGTTGTTATCTGCTTTGTTTTCATACTCTGTGAGAATCTTGGATCTAGCAATATAAAAGATAAGGTTAATTGAACTGTCAGAATTTCTAGGATGAGAATGCAGCCTTGCTGGCTGTGGCATTAGAGAAAACAGCAATAATCTAAAATTAGCCTATGTTCCATTTTTATTTAGATCGCTGTTGTTGTTGGGGTTTTTCTTGCTCTTTTAATTTGTATTTTTGTTTTTGAATGACATAAAATAGCTCTTTTTGAATTTATTTTGAAAATAACATTAAGAGTTTGTGTTCGGTGGAAATGCTTATAAACCGATTGAATTGTCATGCTTTGGAGGCCACTGAGAGGTTTAGCTTAGCAAGTAAAGTGCACGTGAAACATCCCTTGTATCTCCAACGCGTAAATGGCATTATCATAAAGTAACTCCAGATCACGAGGTCAAGAACATCCATTTGAAAACTCAGTGAATGGAACGCGGGTGTATTGCAAGTCTGAGATGCGACTTCAATTCAGTTGAAGTAGAAGAAGCTTCAAAAGGTCCTGCTGATACAATGCACAGTGTCACCAACCCTTACCAAATTGCTTTGTGATTTGCATATAAATAGGTATAAGTGTGTATATATGTGTATGTAACAGATGTGAATATCCATAGTTCTTAGGGAAGATACTATGGAAGTTCTTATGGCAGGATATGGAAGAAATCAGGTAATTAAATGAGAATGAAACATGGTTATATGAACCTCAGCTTCATGACTTGACCCTAGATGGTTTGTTGGCTTTTTTTATTATTCTGATGCTACGTTTGCTTATCTTGTAGATCTTAACAGAAATTTGTTCTCTCTTTCAGGCTCTTGAACCTGATCTACAATGGAAAAACTGCTTTTGTATCTGCTGTTCATTGGCATAACAGTGAGAGCTCAGATCTGCCCAAAGCGCTGTGTCTGTCAGATTTTGTCTCCGAATCTTGCAACCCTTTGTGCCAAGAAAGGGCTCTTATTTGTTCCACCAAACATTGACAGGAGGACTGTGGAATTACGGCTGGCAGACAACTTTGTTACAAATATTAAAAGGAAAGACTTTGCCAATATGACCAGCCTTGTGGACCTGACGTTATCCAGGAATACAATAAGTTTTATTACACCTCACGCATTTGCTGACTTGCGCAATTTGCGGGCTTTGCATTTGAACAGCAACCGATTGACTAAGATCACCAATGACATGTTCAGTGGACTCTCCAACCTTCATCACTTGATACTTAACAACAACCAGCTGACTTTAATTTCTTCCACAGCTTTCGATGATGTTTTAGCTCTTGAGGAATTGGATTTGTCTTATAACAATCTGGAAACCATCCCGTGGGATGCTGTGGAGAAGATGGTTAGTTTGCACACTCTCAGTCTAGACCACAATATGATTGACCATATTCCTAAAGGGACCTTCTCCCACCTCCACAAGATGACCAGGTTAGATGTCACTTCTAACAAACTGCAGAAGCTACCACCTGATCCTCTCTTTCAGCGAGCTCAGGTACTAGCAACCTCAGGAATTATCAGCCCCTCTACTTTTGCATTAAGCTTTGGTGGAAACCCTTTGCATTGCAATTGTGAGCTTTTGTGGCTGAGGCGTCTTTCCAGAGAAGATGACCTGGAGACCTGTGCTTCTCCTCCGCTCTTGTCTGGTCGGTACTTTTGGTCAATCCCAGAGGAAGAGTTCCTATGTGAGCCTCCCCTCATTACTAGGCACACCCATGAGCTGAGAGTCCTGGAGGGCCAAAGGGCAACACTGCGTTGTAAGGCCCGAGGGGATCCAGAACCCGCAATTCACTGGATTTCACCTGAGAGCAAACTTATTTCAAATGCAACAAGGTCTTTGGTGTACGATAATGGAACGCTAGACATCCTTATAACGACTGTAAAGGATACAGGTTCTTTCACCTGCATTGCTTCCAATCCAGCTGGGGAAGCCACACAAACTGTGGACCTTCATATAATCAAACTCCCTCATTTGCTGAATAGTACTAATCACATCCATGAGCCGGACCCTGGTTCCTCAGATATCTCAACTTCCACCAAGTCAGGCTCTAATGCAAGCAGTAGTAATGGGGAAACTAAAATCAGCCAAGATAAGAAGGTAGTAGTGGCAGAAGCAACATCGTCGACTGCTCTGCTGAAATTTAATTTTCAAAGAAATATACCTGGAATACGTATGTTTCAAATCCAGTACAATGGTACTTACGATGACTCACTCGTTTACAGGTAAGACAGATCCAACCAAACCTGCACTTAGTGCTCCATCAAGCTGTTTTGTATTGATTTATTAATGCACTGTTTCATTATAGTACGTTATTTAGGTGTGGTTACAGCAGCACTTAGGCTGATCAGAGCCCTACCCTAAGAAGCAGATGGTGGGAGGCTTGTGAAAGGCTAATGCAATTTTTAACTTTAATTTTTTAAATAGGGAAATTACTTTGAATGATGTTATTTTTAGATAATCCAAACGGACCTCTAATCCTCTAAAGTAATCTGATTAGCAGAAGGATTGTAAAGTTAGGTGAGTTAAATGGATCTTAACACTTGCAATTTTTTGAAAACACAAGAGAAAGACGTCCATAAACGTGTTCTTCTTTACACTTTGTGGTTGAATCAGCAGTGTTTGTGCTGGAGGAGCACGGAGAGGCATTGTGCACGTGGGGCGGATTTGTTTTGAAACTTGGATGTAACAGTCGCACCAGTTGCAAACAGTTGCAAAACTTTTTTTAATGATTTCATTTACATTTTTGGTTTGATTGCTCTCATAAGGTGCTCTGCACCGCCCAGCTGTGCAGCGGGAGCTCTGCGCTGAACAGTGCCGTGGCGGCCGGCGAGGAGCTGCGCGTGGACGCGCAGGCAGTGCCGGAGGTGCTGTCCGCCAGCAGCCGGCAGTGTGCGGGTGGCTCCAGCGTATGGGTGGGCAGGCGACCGCGCGTCGGTCTAGTTTATTCACGCTGGTTTCCTTATCCCCTAGAATGATACCTCCCACAAGCAAAAGCTTTCTGGTCAACAACCTGGCCGCTGGGACTGTGTATGACCTGTGCGTCTTGGCCATCTACGATGACGGGATCACCTCACTCACTGCCACCAGGGTTGTGGGGTGCACGCAGTTCACGACCGAGCAGGATTACGTGCGCTGCCATTTCATGCAGTCCCAGTTCCTGGGTGGGACCATGATTATCATCATCGGTGGGATTATTGTGGCCTCCGTGCTCGTGTTCATCATCATCCTCATGATCCGCTACAAGGTGTGTAACAACAACGGGCAGCAGAAGGCAACCAAGGTGAGCAACGTGTACTCACAGACCAATGGGGCGCAGATCCAAGGCTGCAGCGGGGTGCTGTCCCAGTCGATGTCCAAACAGGCGGTGGGGCACGAGGAGAGCATCCAGTGCTGCAGAGCTCCCGCTGAGGCGGTGGCGCCGCTGTCAGACACTTGCTCGAGCCAGGACTCCACCACCACTACCTCTGCTTTGCCTCACACGTGGACTTCTAGCACTTCTGTCTCACAAAAGCAGAAGCGAAAGCCTGGGCCAAAGCCAAGCAGCGAGCCGCCGAGTGAAGCTGTCACGAATATCGAGTCCCAAAACACTAACAGAAATAACTCCACGGCTCTGCAGTTAGCTAGCCGTCCCCCTGGCTCTGTCAAAGGGGCCCCCACGTACAAAAGAGCACAATCAAAGCCAAGTAAGTTTCTCACTTTGCCAGCTGACACATCCAGAGCAAAGCGCAGGTTCTCCCTGAATGGAGAATTAATGGAATACCATTGTCACGGTAACTCCCCGAACGCAGGTGGATTATGGTCTAAAAGGAGCATGTCTATGAATGGGATGCTAATGCAGTCAGACAGTTCTGATGTGGATAGTGGAAAAGCAACTTTCTCGAGTTCTGAGTGGATATTGGAAAGCACTGTGTGACCTGCTTTTTTAATTTTTATTTTAATGAAAAACAAAACACCAAACGTTGTGTGAAACTCCCTCTCCTGGGAAATTGGATTTGGAATTCCACTGTTGTCTCGCTGATTAAAGCCTTGTTCATGCAGGGTTCTGTATAAGCCACCCAGTGCACACCGACCCGTTTTTAGTTAATTTTCATTTTATTTCATTTAATAACAAAACCGAAGGCAACATTCAGAGATTAAAAAAAAAATACAAAAAAAAAATTAAGGGGTGAAAAAAGCATGAAACAGCACCAGTGCCTTCCCTACTCTAGGACTGGCTTCCTGGTTCTGCAGTAGCAGAAAACAAAAGAGAGAGTTTTCACAGAAAAAGCCTTTTATAAAGGAAATGAAATTTCCTCCAAGCTAACATATAACCACTTCTGGATCAATCAGTAAAACGGTATTTTTTAAAACGGTCAGACTGTATATTTCTTTTCAGTGACAATGGTGTTGCCTTTGTTTTTAGGCAAATGCTGTACAGAAACAACAACGCCGTGTTGTTATGTTGTGTAAAATAAAATATTCACTCTGTACCCAGCCAGCGTTGCCGTGACTGCCGGGCTCCCGGGGCGTG